ATTAATTGAAAATATTCATAAATTGCCTTCAATTTATTATATTCATTTGCAATTAAATTATTTTCTTGTTCTATAAGTATGTTTTCTAACTTATTAATTTTTTCAGTTAAATTATATTGGTTATTGTAAATAAAATTTGTTGAATGATCTTGAATATCAATAGTGATAGAATTTAATTTTCTTTTTTTAATAGGAATAGAATTAGAATTGTTTAAATTGTTTAATGAAAATTTAGAATACATTGTTTAATTTAAGAAATAAGATAGTAGATATAAATTATTGAGTAGAAACTTTATTTGAAAGAAATAAAAAAAATAAAAAAATAAATATTAAAACAGGATTTAAATTCAATAGCCTCCAAAGATACTATAAGGATTTAACAATAGGCAATTATGTTTGAGTTTTAACCTATTGTCCAGTTTGTATAGGTCAGGTATAGCAATTGCTTGCCCTGTACAAGGATTATTAGATTTTAAAACTTAGAAATATTTTTAAATATAATCAGAGGAAAGAAAGTACTAATAACCAGACCGTCGACAGCTATATATGGCCTTTAAATCCAATAATATAAAGCTAGTATTTGCCAAAATACTATTTCTGAAGTCAGCTTTCACTTTATATTATTTTTAAGAAAAAAAATAAAAATTATTAAAGAAAAGATAAAATATATAAAAGAATAAGTTAAATAATAGTTTTTATAATAATATCAAAAAAAAGATAGATGAAATATAATTTTATTAAAGGAATTTCAAGTAAAGAAAACTTTACTTTTTAGAAAAGCAAAAAACTATTCTTTTTATAAATTTTGGTCTAATATCTAATTGGTTTTAAGGTTATTATATAGAATATTCTACAATACCAATAAGCTTTGTTAAGCTAATGCCAAGCCAATGCCAAGCCAATACCAAGCCAAAACTATTTTTAAACCAATAAAATTATTCTTAATTTTACTATATATAATCACTATGTTACATGAATTACAAATCAAAATAATTTATTTTAAATTACAAATTAATTGTTTAACTAATTTAGATATCCTAATTTAAAATAATTATTATCATTTTGTATTTTAATACATATATAATTAATTATTCTTTGTTTGCAGTTAAACTTAAATGCAACTCCTAAATACAGATAATTTAATATGCATAAATTTGTAATACATTAAAAACAGCAGCTAATTATCATTATATACATAGCTGCAAGATGCTGTTATATTAAAAACTAGAAATGTAAACAACA